CTTCTACAATGTATTTCAACAATAATTAACCGAAATTTTGTTTGACCCAAAAAAGAAAAATTGCATAGCTGTTGGGCACCGTTTGACTGAGTCTTCATGGTGGACAACTAAGTTAATCACTTGTTAAACATGGGTAACAATTGCATAACGATCCCAAAAAAAAAATTAAAGGGAACTGACAGCTTTGTGATTTAGTTGTAGGAGCAGTCAACTTTCGCGGGATAGCTCAACTTATTTACAGCAAAATAAAATAAATTCCAGATAGTATATATGTTGTACATATATATGTTATTGAAAGACTTACAACCAGGTTTTGCTTTATTGCAACTACAATTTTTACGGAATAAAATATTTGGTTCGCATTCATTATTCAACCTTCGCTCGGACAATAAGTTACATCCTAAATGTCTTGAACGCCCTGAACGCCCTATATATCGTATATGTAAGAGCTTAAATGACTAGCCACATGTACAAAGAGTACGATGGAATTGATTTTACATTTTCTTATTTGGAAGATATGTTGATTGATTTATGTAGGCTATCGAGACTTACAAGTTATTTTCTTCATTACAGCAGGTCTCGACTCATCGTTGAACACCCTATGCCAACCTATAGTTATTCATATAGTCACACGTCAGATTAAAGCGTTATCTAGGAAGTGGACGACAAAGCGATCCAATCCAAATCATTTTCAACAGCGTTCGTGCTTGGGCTGACACCTGTCAGTGTACCAAATTCCATCAAAATACCTCAAAAGTTGTAATCTGCAGGCTCACCAGAGGAAAAAAAGGACAGACTGAAATCGATTTACAAAATGATAAAGTTGTGTCCGCCTCAAGTCCTTCTGAGGTTTGCATATATTCGCCCTGATTTTTTTACATCCTTATACCACAAGTGACTTAAGATGTAACAATATTTACTTTTTTAAAAATTATTTCCACGGATTTTAGATAATTACTCGCAAATAGCTCAATAAGTTATAGTTTGGCTGGCTTAGTATACTTTGGTCATGAAAACTAAATATCATATGACATAAATCCTCGGTGCTTTGCGTGCATGATTTTCTATCGTTTCGTTTCTCTAGTTTGCAAAATATTCTAACAAAGATAGCAAATTCGTTTCTACTATCATTTGCTTTAATGAATGAATTGCATTTAATTGTTAAAACTTATACTCTTAAGGATTAGAAGTTTACGAACACCATGAACTTTTTAAAAAAGAAGACATGACTTTATCGAATGAAATTTACTATAAATTTAATGGAAAAGAAGACAAAAATAGTGAGTTACGCTCCCTGCACATTTAGTTAAAAGTGAAATATGTATGAGTTACTGAAAAAAAAAAAAAAAAAAATCGAAACTTAGTTCACTTTTCTCACCTAGTATTAAAAAAAGTTGTTTGGAAAAAAAGAGAAATGCATTTCTAGCGTTCATGTTTAAAAAAGATTTAACACAATTTACTATCCGTGTTAACTTAATCATCTATTATACGAATTGGCAGCAGAAATTAAATAATTAAAATTTGAAAATGTAAAAAATGCCTAATGTTGTCTAATGGAGGTAATGTTGTATATTAAAAATTTATGATCAATTATCCGAAAAGACAAACATATCAATACATGTTTTTACAACATTCATTGTTACCCTAATGGGACATCAGCGAAATAATTACATTTAAACAGTCATGTTCACCTGAAAAAACAAATAATTACTATTTTTCAGTTATGTCCCCAAATAACATGATAGCAGGAATTGTACATATTTTCAACTAATATGCCTTGCAGAGACTTGTAATTACATTTATATGTTATTATTAAAACATAAAAGAGAAATAACTAAAAAAAAGCTGTACTCGCTCTGTTCTGTGCAAGCAATTTCACAATATACATAGGTGGTGGGCTGTGGACTTTATGTCGATTAAAATAGTTTTTAGACAAAGAAAAAAAAAGTAAAAACATAATACCGGGACAGGGCTTATCATTAAATACCCTACAGAAGCCTACAATTATTAATATATATCAACTCTTCACAATACGGGAAGTGATCGAAAAGTGTTCCGATTCGAACAGCTTTCAATAGAGTTAGTCCTTGGCTCGAAACACGTTGGCGTACGAAGTGTCATCCAATTATCTCAAACATTGCGTTCTATCCAACTACTGAACAAGGCAGTTTCTAACCATATTAAATTTTCGGAATGGTTAGAGAATATTGATACATTGAGAAAACGTCTTCTTCTTTGATGTTCAAAAAGTCGGTCTAAATAACGCTCATATCAGAAACAATTGGACTGACAGATAGCCATTTCTGTATGTTATAATTACGGTTAGGAGCTCAAAAAGTTCGCCTAGAAGGGCAAACTTAGGCTTTCGTTGTCACTAAAATGAATTACTGAGCCACTAGTTATTTGTAAAGCGGTTACTATTTTAAACAAGGAGTACGTGGGACATTGATCACTTATTGCCCGACAAACTGAAAAAAAACCTTTCTTTTCATGTGACATTTGACTGTATTCATCAACAAAATCTCCTTCAAGAGTAACACAGTCAGTCTAATACTCTTCAGACATTTCCATGCCTTTGCTATAGAACGATTTATCAAGACTTTCTGAATACAATTCAGTTTCTGCAATGAGCTCATAATTTTTCTCATCATCCAAACGGTTTACCCTGCACCATGCTTTTGAGATTTGCAAGCTGATAATAGTAGATACCAATAGGTAATGGGGTGACAACGGGTAAGTGGATCAGATTCGGAAAGTATAATGCGTGGGGCCGCAATCCAAACTTCAATTTATGAAATGTGTCCGCTGTAACCGTCGACTTGTGACAGAGTCTTTCTACTCCACTGTGGATATACGCGGTAGTCGTTCAGGAAACAATCTTCTCATGTGTAAATATTCATACAAAATAATGAGTACATTGTGTTGTGTTATCTTCAGGATGTTAACTATCCCACGAAACTTCACTTTTCGATTGCCGCAAACAATATTAACAAGTATTTAGATGTTCTAAGCTGTGAGCACTCCTTTTGGATGGTCATTACGATGAATGTACGATATCACACGACGTGAACAAAACGACGTCATATCGTTATTTTCGTTGGAAAAGAGTTACCATGTTGAATAAACTCGGTTCAAAAATGATTTTTCTCTACTAAAAGCCATTGCTTAGTGAACACAGGAAGTTTGGATTTTTCCATTATTTTGGAAATATTGAAGGTAGTGAAGTGTTCAAAACTCCATAAAATGATGGCAAATAACATCTGAGGTTACTTTTTAAAGCTTCAATAATATGGCTTTTTTTTTAAGACCCGACATCTATGTGCCGGTCGCGGAAATTATTGATCGACTTGTCATAGATACATATATCCTGATAGAAGAAATTATGTCTGTATCTATTATTAGGCTCAATGCTTATCGAAATACGTAAAGCATGTGCAACTTATCTCTACAAAATATTTATATTTATTTATGTGTTACCAAACACAGCAAGCTACGAGAATATGTATTCGATTCAGATGTAAAAAAAAGTGTTTACAATTTTCTTCATATCATTTACTAACAAATCAATTTTCTCGCTTTAATTATCAATTCAAAAATTATTGTAAATAATCTGTGTACGTGAACTGCACCCATTTAACTATGAATCGATTTGTGTTTTTCGATATAAAAGACATTTAAAACCTCGCCTTTATGTCATTAATCTCATTTATAAAGTTTTGTAAAGTAAAAAGGCGAAGGGAAACGGCGAAAACGAAGAGGAGAAGCAACTTGAAAATAAGTAAAAAAAAAAAAGCAAGAAAATGAAAAGGAAAATAAGAGAAACTTACATCTATGGTAAGGCGAATTTTATGTGAATATCGCTTAGGTGCGAAAGAAAGACTTTGAAAGAAATATGGATACAATGTTTGCGTGAAAAAATTACGCATATACTGAAGGATGTGTAAATGTTTACGTACGCATGAAAAGCATCATTCATGCTGAAATACGGCCCTGCCTGCCTATTTAGTACAAAATGTTTTTGTTTCTGTCAAGTGTTTGGATGAAGAGAGATAGAATTTCTTGTGAATTGCAACCGGATTCATAGCAATTCTATTTTCCAAAATCCCTAATTGATACTAATTCCTGCACACGACATGACTCATTTAGTATATCTTCACTTTTGGCTTATGTTTACTACGAGCAAATAGAAATATTAGCGCTAAGTAGAAAAGTAAGTTAATACGAAACATGTATTGTAGTTTCGCTAATAAATATATATGTGGTTGAAAATCTTGCATAAAGCTAAAGCAAACATGACCAACATGGCATATGGCATATGGGTGCGACCAAATACTTAATAAGCTTGCAAAGTATGAATGTACGAACGAACGAACGAAGAAAAGCCTTCTCTTGGTGTACTGTCGAAAAAAAAAAAAAACAAAAAATGAAAGAATAAACATATTCACTGACTTATGTAAAAGAGAATATTACACAAATTTTAAGAGGTGGACCAAACTGACGCGTCTCCTTAAAATGTATGCTTATGATTAGTTAAAAATAGATTTATATATTCAAGGAGTGTTTTAACTGTGCAAAATGAATTTCCATTTTCTAAACCAGAAACCAGAAAGCGTTGCTTAAAAATTTTCTCCTACATTCATTCATACGTAAATCCTATTAGTCTGCATTTTGCACAATTTATATATATAAAAAAAAAAAAAAAAATGTTTCTCTTTTGTAGCATAAAAAATTACGAAATAAACTAAGTTTGACATTAAAACTCTATAAAACTTTCCGCACTCTTTCATATAGATTTTCAGGTACATTGGTGAAATCAAGCTAATCGAATATTTGTCCGGTTGCTATCTGTGCGCATAAATAATACCTGAGCTATAAACAAAAATCCGTATCTATCTATGCATTAATGCAGTTAATGCAACTCATAAAAAAAAAAAAAAAAAAATTGAAAACTGAAAGTATGAAGAAAACAAAAAAGAAACTGAAGATATTATTTTTCTTACCATCCCATGTGCAGCCCACAATTTCAGCTCTTAAGCATACTGTGCGATCGTATTGTCCATATGGATAGATACGCATTTTCGATGCGAATATAATCGGCTGCAAAGTGTTTTCCACTTCACTGTACGTGTTAATGTTGCCGGGTAATATCTGCAGAGCATAATTAGGAAGAAAAAAAACGAATTTAAGTCATTGAGCGTTAAAATGTCTACTCAAGTAATAATCACATCTTTAAGAAAATGATGGGATCTCCTGTAGCTTTTAATACAATAATCTCATTAGCTTATATGCATCTAATATGTATCTTAAATATTTATTGTGAACGTGAGACATTTTCGTAGACATAGCCTTGAGGAGAATATTTATTATTTTACTCTCACAACTTTTCATAAAATTCATAGCATTGTGACTCAGTGTAGTTGGGCATTGACGATGGTGTTTATGTTAGCATAAGATTCTGAACTAAATGTTTATGCCATAGGCTTTAACTTGTCAAGCTGCAAGCTTCATTAATATGTGAATTCTTAAATGAAACGGCATAAGCGAAAACAAGCATGAGACACTATTTGAACAAGTAAAAAAGCGAAACTTGTTGCTCTTCCGCATACGCATATTTTATTTGTTTTTTTTCATTTCAACGACTTTATTTTTCTTATTCACCTCTTTCTTCTTAATCTCATTCATGACAAGTGTAATAGCTTTTATATAAATTTTTATTAATTTCCGGGAGCCTATAAACACACATGTAATCACAGATGAAATGTTAAACCGCACATCACCGAACGGACAACTAGTTATATGCATGGTTAAACAGTAATAGTCAGGCGTAATGTGTAGAAAAATTGAAAGTAGACTTAAAAAAAAACTTTCGAATCAGTTCGACAACTTGCTATTTCCAGTACACATAGACATCTTAGGCAGATAGATTAGAAACGCCTGCAGTAAAAAGGTAAAGACCGAAAACTCAAGTTTCTCTTTTTCTTTCCATCAAAGGTGTGTGAAGAATGCTGCATAATTAAGGATTAGATATGACTTTTGATTCTTCATTCTTTTCCCTTACTTCACCACACATGTGTCCATGCGGCAGGGCACGAAGAAATTGTCGCAAGTACTGCTTGCCGCAGTAGCGTTTACCTCTTGTAGGAATTTATTAAGATTCGCAAGACAACGTAACATTCGAGGGAATTTCATTTTTGAAGAGGTGGACCTATTTAGTCACAAATGAGTGTGGCAATACGATAATTTAGACTGTTTTAACCCCACAATTGTTGTAACCCATAACACTAAGTTGATCTAGGCAAGAGGTGAATAGGGGAATGCAAATAGACACCTACGCTTATGAGGACGTTAGAATGATACACGAGAGACCCACCAAATTGATTCCGGTCCATTTTCTAAATCAACCTACCTGTCTGTTGATCCACCCCTTTCTGTAGCTGATTTCTTTTTGTATCATTTTATATCCAACCTATAGGTAGCAGCTTTGGTTAGACTTTGATAAGCTAACGTGTTTTGCACTAAGATCGAAACGTTTGGACCCAATCGGGCCATTTTCACAGTCACACTCTTCATGGAGCTATATTTTGAAAAAGTCCATATATATGTAGGAAAGATTTGCGAGTACTTTGGAACCCAGCAAAACGTTGTGCTAAATGAGAGTAAGAAACAACGGATAGAAGCGGTTTTTGAACGTCCCCTCTTGTAGAGGTTCTTGCTTAAAGTAAACCCCTGTGTGTGATAATAAGTATAGGAGAGTGACACAAAATTGATATTTGCTAAATTTAAACCGCATTAGTTTGTTTTTCGACCCCTTTATTCAGTATTATAAAAGTATTCGTGTGGAACAAGTTCTAGTTTTTAGTATTTCATGACGAAAATACGCGAAGGATTGAACTAAATGACGAAGGACACTTGGTAAAGGCCGTACCCAACGTTTCGCATTGCTCTCCTTCTACTTTGACCTAGCAAAAGAATTTCCTAACCAACTACTCTTTCTCTTCCATTTAGAAACTGAAAGGAAGTGAGGAAAAAGAAGACCTTCTGCGAACTTAATACTGAGGAATAATTAGTGGTAAACAATCTGCTTGTAGCTTAACACCCCTTTTTCCTTAGTGAATCAGGAAAATCAAGTGACTAACATCTCGAATGTCGCCATTTTATGCACGATCCTAAAATATATCTTCATTTTTTTTTTTGTGTTTAGGGCTTTTTGATTCAAATTCTATGTTGGGCTCTTACATGCATTATTTTGCAACTCACCTCTTTGCCTTGCGTATTCTTCCATCGTTTCCAATTTGTAAAACCTGGCCGCCAGTATTCCAAGACATAGGCTTCAGTGTATTCTTGCCCCTGGCCCTTCCCGAAGCGTCCTTGCGTTCGTATCGCTGTTATAACATGTGTTGACAATAAATCAACTTGTAAATATTCTTTTAAAGCATTAGACACCATATGCTTGGGACACCAAGCACCACCATTATTATCGGTTTTCAGTCTGCAAGTAAAAAAAGAAAGGTATTCACAAATATATTACAAAAATAAAATATATTCAAACGTAAGCAGTTCGAAAACAACCTTAAAGAAAAATATTTAATGCAAAAATGCCATATATATAAAAATAATTGACATTAAATGACAGCCACCACACAGAGGGGGTCTCTCTGATGACTATGAAATGCTTTTCAATATCACAAAACGTCATCGTCTACCATATCATCAATACTATGGTATGAAAAAAGAAAAAAACCTGCTGCACCACCACAACCACCAACGAGCCGTCATGGTCTTCTTCATCATATCATCTTCATGGCTTTAGGTTTTTTTTTTTTTTTTTTTTTTTTTTTTTATTATAAACATATCATATGACGGAGGATTTACTTGACTGGTGCTAGTAGTGGTAGAAGCAGTGCCGAGAGTTTTCTTTTTTATACACATGTAAGTGGCGTTTTAGCTTTAATGTAAATGCGGTTTAAGCGGTTTTAAAACGTCAATTCTTTAGACATGTTATCGCTTCGGTAAAGAATATTTAAAGAAAAAATAAAATAACAGCAGCAGCAGCAGCAGCAGCAAAAAAACATTTAGTTGCTTGTGGTGAGTTGTTAAGTTCGTTAAGCTTTTTTTTTTTTTTTTTTTTTATTTTCTTCTCTGGGTCTTCTGATTTTCTTAAGGGATTTTTTTCTTTTCTTATTTTTTTCTCCTACTGATTGTAAAAACATTGCCTGACTCAGCACGACGTTGTTCGCGTAATTAGGGATTAATTTTTGCTTTAGTTATGGTTTTCTACTTTTTTCTCGTTTTCTGATTCCGTTTGTGTCCCTCTTGCGGTTAATTGTGCCCTTAGCATTTATTGATATGTTAATTTTTTCCTCTCGATCGTTGTATCCTTTTCTATGCTTTGCTTTTTTGTTTTTGATTTTTCTTGACTTGTACATTGTGATTTGTTGGCGCTGGTTGTTCTAGTAATTGCTGGTTTTAAATTACTGACTGTAGGTTATGTCAAAGAAAAATATGGTAAAAGGTTTTTTCTAAAATTAGTTGAGATTTGTTTTCAGTTGATATTAAATGAATTTTTTTATATTCTAAAATAAATTTTAAATTAATTTAAATATTATTAAGAACTATTAAGGAAACGGTCTGAACTTGTTCTGACAGACTCACTTGGCCTATATTTTATTGTTTATCTTTGTTTTGTGTTAGTTGTTGTGCTTTAGAAATGAAGGAAAGCATAGCAGAAGCAGAACATGATTGAAAATTTCATTGACTGGATTTGAAGAACAGTTCTGCTAAAAATTATTGAGTCATAATGACACAGATAACCGCATGTTGATTCTGCAAAACCATTTAAATCGATTGGACAATGTCTTGCCTTTTGGGAAAAGTTAATGCTTTGCATTACGTGCCACGAAATGTATAGAGGGCTGCTGTCATCAGATGACGCTCTTAGCACAGTCAACTAGTACTTTGGCAAGTAAGAGTGACGTGTCATCATCGACACAAACAACACACGACACTTTCACTCTCCTTTTTTATATGGTAGCCCATAAACGCAATCATATTTTACTATAACGGACCACGGCCCACCAATGACTATCCTATGCCAATCTACATTTACTCCCATAATCCCCTCACTTCGGAAGTGGTCTAATAAGTAGTCCGAACCTAACCATTTTCAATAGCGTTCGTCTCTGACACAAAATACGTCGGTGTACCGACTTTCATCAAAATAGCTCAAAAATTGCGAGCTATAGAGCAAGCGAGCAAGAAAAGAGATTCACAGACAGACAAACAAGCTTACATCGATTTTGAGTCGATCGGTATAGTAAAAAGTAAATCAGTCTCAAGTCTTTCTCTGTGCTGCGAACAACTACGTAAACTTAATATACCCTTGTTCCACAAGTGGTATAGGTGATGGTGTGATGTAGAAAGTAGAAAATTGTAAAAAAAGTTTATTGGGTTGACTTGAACAGGAATCCTTAAACAGAGCTAGAATTCCTATGATTATTTATTTTATTTTATTCCTTTTTTAAATTTTTTACTATTTGAGGCCAATGTAAAGAATCATAAGCATTAACTTGCAGTTCTATGTGCTCAGGCTGCGACTATTGGGGAAGTAAATTCCATTTCTGTAACCTTTCGCAATACAGCCGAGCCTCATGAGCATATAACAGATTGCAAATTAAGCATCAATGTGCGATCCTATGCCTCTGTCGGACGTCAGCTGGCTAGGAAACCGTTTATAGAGAAAATAAATATCGTTTCAATAAACTTTTCTAGTAGAGAGTCCCAACACCATTTCGCTGATTGTAAAGAAAATCGTCCCTCTCTAAAATTCTTATAAACTATATCATCCAGTAGAAAGCAGAATTGACTATTAAGGAGGTTTTCGGAAAATGTTTATTCTACGAAATCTTGGACAAAAACATAAGCAGGATAAGCGTAAGTTTGGGAAGCGTGCTTTTAACTTTTCCGCCGAAGACGCTACTCGTGCATTTCTCATTCAATCTACGTATGCACAGAAATTTTAAACAGATTTTTGGCATATTTTAGTGCACCGCTTTAAAGCTAAGGGCATAAAAATTTTTGATAGAGTTTTTTAAATATTATTTTTTCAAGATTTTCTTGGATATAAAAAAAACTATGCCTAAATTCGCTATTGAAATGCAACTCACGACTTACATTAACGAATAATATATAATTACACTTGAAAATATTTCTAACATAAAAGTACGAAAAGTAGTTCACTCCTTGTTGCTATTGTATAAGAATGTTGTGATAAATGTTTAGAGAGAGAAATTCTTTCTTTTAATTCAAGTGAAGCGTTAGTCAAGGCAAACACCGTGTGATGCTAAACTTTCATTGAAAATTTTCTTTATATTAAGTAAACAAATAGTTTAAGAAAATATAGATAAAACACTAAACAGGTTCTCAGAACATTTTAATATATATATATATATATATATATATATATATAGACATGACAAAAAAAAAAAAAAAAAAAATGAACAAAAAGAAAAAATTCTTTTAAAACTTTTTATCGCTCTTCAACAGCCATTGCATTCAATGCAATTTTTGTTTTATCTGTTCTCTGAATAAGAAACGACGGCGGCTTTGAAGTCTGACATCTTTGCTTTTTTGTTTCTTTCTTTCTCTTCTTTTTTTTTCTTGCCTTTTTTCTATGCTAGTTATTGCACTACAGCGTTCTGCGTATTCTTGGTAATTATCTTAGTAACTATGTACAGGATAGAGTTATTTTTATATTTAATTTGTTTTCTTTTTTTTTTTTGTTATGTTTATTTTCTGACTGACGTCATTAACATCACTCACGGCGAGTTTTATTTACTTAAAATGTTTATTCCATACAGCAATAAACTATTTAATTTGTTATGATTTCCTATAAAATTACTTTTGTACTTTAGGGTCAATTTAATCAACATAAAATCCATTATATTCGTTCGTTTGCGTTGCGCCTAAAGGCATAAAATGTTGCGTTGTTACAAAAGCATTTAACAACAAACAAAAAAAAAAAAAAAAAAAAATAGAAGAAGAAAATATTATTTAAAACTTTAATATTCTTTCTTTATGGACACATTTAAGTTTGACTTTAATTACGGTTATTACAAAAGTTAATAAACCGTCGAAAGCGCAGCGTAGAAGAGATTCAAGTAAACGCTGCAACTTTGTTCTTAACCGAACCGGACTAACGGCTATCGAATCATAGGAAAAGCAAAGACGTTTCTTTTTTATTGTTTTTAAAAGCCTAATAATAATGTGTTCCCCCCCGATTTATGCTCGTTTTAAATTTCTCTTACTAAAGTTTCTTACTTCATTTTTTTTTTTATTTTTATTTTTTTTATAGTTTATTTATTGCTTAACTAAAACTAAGATGTATATAGAAATTTTTATTTTTTCAATGTGCATATATTTAAAATGAGACAAGCTACTCTTACTTAGTTAGACAGCCACTTATGTATATATATATATGCATATATAGTGTACTACCATCACTGTTTTACTACTGACTACTTCTCAACTACTTTTTCTTTTTCTATTTTTTATTTTCATTTTATATATATAAATTTTTTTTTTAATATAACGCGCGCAGCATAAAATGAAAAAAAAAAAAAAAAAAAAAAGAAAAAAAGAAAAGAAAAAACTGTCATTTAGTTAATCATGAGTAAAACGATATGATACCGTATCCACTGTGTGCCACAGTCTGTTTGGTATTTAATGCTCTTTACTTTGGTTTTAGTATCAAATGTTATTCGTATCGTAATTTGAATTAATTTCAAATGAAACGTGAAAAAAAGACTTGAAAAAAGGGAAGTATTAATAAAAATCATAGACAACAGACAAAAGAGAAACAAAAAAAAAAAAAAAAAAACAAAACAAACTAAAAAAAAAAATAAAAGAGATTTAAAGACAAAGAAAACATTTAAGTAATTTTAGTTGAAATTTCAAAAGCTAGTTACAGAGAGAATAAAACGTTCGAAATTTATTTAAATGAAACGTAAAAAAAATCTTCAACTTAGGAGTAAAGTTTTAAGTTTAAGCTTCTACTGCTATTAAAAATTAATATCTTAGTATAAAATATAATCGCTTCCTTTTTAAATATCTAGGGAGATATTTAACTCTAACAGCAAAAGTATATCAAATTTCTTCATTAAATTTGTAGCAACTTGATAAGCACTTTAGATAATAGCTGGTCCAGTATATATAGTCGAGAGCAAAGGCGAGAGCATTAATTTTGTTTATTCAATTCATGCCCATAAACATTGATACACAGATAATTTCCTATATGATCTGATGTTTTCTTGGAAAACAAGCCTTTATTGTTTCCATTTCATTATTAATTGAGTAAAAAACGAAAAATTTTGACGCGTTTTCAACAATGAATAAAAACAAGTTCGAACCATTTGCGTAAGGCCAGCCAGATGATGCTCTATGTCTGATGTGCCTCTATATTTTGAGTGGTGGAAAATTGAAAGATATTAGTAATAGTCACGGGAGCATGGCTTGCTTGGAAAAGATCGTCGATTCAAACGTATTAACATGCACTAATGGAAAACAATGTCCGGAGGAACGGTACATAAGGTTGTGCTTTGAACTACAAACGAGTTAGGAGCCTCGAGCCTATCTAACTTAGCTGGAAAATTGTTTCTACTGTCTACTGTCAGCCACTAATGCGATTAAATGCGCTCTTGACGTTAATCGTCTACAATTGATCAATCGAAAATGTGCGGCTTCCCGTCCGAGAAAGCTTTGCTGCGAAGGGTAGGCTTTGCCCTGCCCGATTACCGTTTATTTCATATCTTTCAGAACCCTTTTAATGCCCTATGCAAGTCACTTGGTTCAGAATATTAGAAGTGCTACAGTCATTACGTAAGGTTTTACCCGCACGATTGCGAAGCCTCGTCGATCAAACTGATCCATATTTGTTTATTTGAAATATAATTTTCTTTTATTGCATGCAATGTATACACGAAGTAAAGGTAATAAGTAAGTGTTACAATAAGGCGTGGACAAATTTAAAACAAAAACACGTTTGCATAAACGCCACGAAGTTTTTCCATTATCTAATACATTATGCATTTCCACGTGTAACATAAGCAACAACACAAAAGTGTCGCAGGCCACAAGTATTTTCTTTGCTATATATATTAAATTTAATACAAGGCCAGAAAACACAGTTTTCTCTCACATGATTGGTGATTGGTCACGGCACTACAATACCGCTCTTAATCTATTTAGTCCATAATTAGTCGATACTTTGATTATAGTTGACTTCCTCTTTTCATTTTTTTTTTTCTTAGGATAATTGAGTCATGCTTTCTATCTGAATTATTGTGATTTTTATTGTACGGAACGATAGTGAAGACGGCGAACCTCCAAAGAAATCAAATTGGATTAGAACTACGCTGTACGTACCACTCCTTTGGTTGCCTGCACAGATATTTCAGCTTTCAAGAGTTATGAACTAAATAGAATAAAGTTTTTAAGCTTGACTTACTTGACAACTTTCGCAAAATACTTTTGCAAAATTTCGCTCAATGCTTGTTGCGTCGGTAACCTCGAATTTAAACGCGTTCTTTCTGTTCAGCTTATAATTCCATACTTCATTTTATGTCAATGCCTACTTCTAAATTAATACCACAGGGGGTCGTGAGTACATATACACTTCGAACATGAGAAATGATAATTCTAATAGGGTAAATAATTGTAACAATGACAACTCTACGTAGTAAGTTATGCCTTGAAAGTGGCTTAAAAGTTTTCTTAAGAGTTAAGTATTCTTGCTTTGCCTTTATTTTCAGTATCGTAGACTATTCTTTCGCATTCAACTCCCTAGGGACGTGACAAATATGAGATTTTTTATTCATTTTTATAACCATGATATTATGGGCCTTAAAAAGTTACGAATGGACGTACAAAGAGCAAGCTTGCTTTAGGCTTAAATCAATTCGGGTTCGGTTCACAGTTCGGCAGTGCACTAGCATGGACACATTGTCCACGGTCTATAATGCAAATTTATGCTTTCTGCCAGGTCAATATCGATTAATTTAGTTGAGGACTTTAAAAAAATTAATTGATTTGTGAAGAGGTACAGTTTTCCAATTTAATATTAGCTACAAATTACTGAGTCCCGTTGCTGCTATGAGTATGGGTAGCTAATGACACCTGTAGTTTGTTGTAATAATTTTTCAAAAACTTCCTTTCCTTGTAGCACCTATGACTGTGGTAAATAACGAACATTAGTTCGAGTCTGAATAATCAATGCACCATGTCTCACTAAGTATTAAAGACAATTTCATAAACGTTGAGAAAAATGTCACGAATGCTATGAATGTACAATGCTAGCGCTCTAAGAAAAGAACAAAACGTTTTAAGCAAGACACGGGTTTATAAGTGGAAAAGCTGTACTATTTTTTAAATCTGATGAGTTTTCCAATGAGTTTTTTCACTTTACTTTAACTTTAAGCACAAGTGACTTGTTTTAAAATTTTTTAAATATCGAAATTTTTCAAATACGACGTAATTTCAATTTTTTTATTATTTATTCTTTAACATTTCAATTCTTTTATGAAATTTTTTCCTCTCAAAACTAAAAATTTATTTAATATTTACAATTTAAAAAAAGAAAAAATTAAATAAAAAAAAAAAGTTTAATCTATATATTCTACCAATTCTCCACAATATCCACTCAGCTATGCGCACATACAAACATAAAAACACAAACACAGTTACTTCTCATCATAACTGACACGAATATATATATATATGCGATGTATATATATATATATATATATATATATTATGAAATTAAATTCAATCTGTAGCATTTTTATTTTGTGGTTCATGTCGCAGGCGTATACAAAAGTTGTTTTTTTTTCTTTTTTCATTATATATAAAATATGAGCTGTAAGGTAAATAAAACCAGCATAATTTTGTTTTAAATTTTTTATATACGTATTTTACTCTTCAAAACGCATTATATAAAATTTATAAACGTTTATGTTTGTACGTGAGCGTAAATATATATATGAAGTTATTCATTATTGCGTTTATGCTGAGATTGTTATGTCATTTCCTGTATGTTGGCTGTGTGCGTGCGTATGAGCATAATTTTGTGGAAATTTAAAATTACGGATTTGTTATATATATTATAAACATGTGCACACAAACAACACAAGCGCGCACAAATATTCACACATTTACATATTTATATACATGCATATATATTAATATATGTATATGATGTTTTTTTTTTTTTTTTTTTTTTTTTGTAAATAAATATTCACCTCGCATGTTGCGGCCCAACAAATCCGGCATCATGAGCTGAACTGGCTGTAATTTGAGTGTCTGTAATTGCACCCGATTCCATGCCCAAGGGCCTATTACATGTGGCTGCAAAACAAAAAAGAAAAATGACAAAAATCAATAAATCTCTTGAAAACATTGTTTTCTTAATTAATTTGAAAATTTTTATTCAAGTAAATAAATAAAACCAAAAAAAAAAAAAAAAAACCTAAACAGCAACGACAATATTTAGACATATCAAGAAAAATCTTAGAAATTTGTATTCTTTCTGATACTAAATTGAAACGTATGCAAGTGTTGTATATATATATATATATATATATATGTATATATCTCATACTTTAATGTCTCTTGCTACGCACTCATCTGTCATTTCAACTCAAGCATATACGAACATTCTATGTTCATCAGCTACATAACAGGGTGTATTCGATTAGTCTCACTACTTGTAACATTCAAATATACGCAACAGAGTTTCTAAAAGTTTACCACACCATGCATAGCAAATTTTGTTATAATTGTTTAACTAAAGGTGTTGGTCGCTTTTACGAAGATCAGCGATACGTTTCAAGTAAAAATTGTAGGTTACGTCCTCTCTGCCTTGAAATGGATACTTTGCAATGCAATATCATCTCCACAATATATTTCTATATAACTTTGGAGTATTTGTCTAGAATCGTAGTATGAATAGCATACAATAAATAAAATTAATTTATCTAACAATTCTTCTGAATTGCTAGCAAGGAAGACTTTACATCCGATTATGGATCAATAGTTAACTACAGGTCTAAATACCAATTTCAAAGATGTGATCACAAGTAGATCCTGAATTGCTCTCTCTTTGCGCATATCTTCACTGTTTGCCGATGCAAAGACCGTACGTGTATCTTTGCTTCCTTGCCCAGGTTTTCAACCATTTTACTATTCCGTTGTTGGTCTATTGACTTGTCCCCATAAACTTCCGTTTTCTGGCCGTCTGTTTAAGTGCCTGCCAAAAACTGCTTCTTTTACTATTTGTTTTCATGTTCATTTATCCCATGTCGTGCATTTGTCAAATTATGAGCTGATCACATGCATCGTTCTTTGTACATCTTTCACTATACATCTATCTTTTTATTTTTCCTTCCACGCGTTTTTCTATCTCACCAACTACCTTTTAAGCAATCTATCTGTCCGTCCGGTCCTCTTCATCCGTCTATATTATCAACTGCGTCTATCCTTATCTTCGTCCACTTGCTTGTGGCTACTTCGTTTCTGCTGCCTATCTTGATCTTTACTTGTCATCTATCTACTTATCTTTCTGTTCATCCTGCACACAAAACCGAGTATCCGCTGCTTCCTTTTTCTGTATCTTTATAGATGTTTATAGATCCCAACCGTATGTCCGCCTGTCTATTAACCTGACTATTTACCGATGTGTGAGTCGATTTGATTGGCTGCTTATATCTTCATTCGTTTGATAGTCGATCTTATGGTTTATTTGTCTCTGTCACAGATCGTTTCTCTGTCCTAGCGTTGGCATATTTTTCATTCGACTCTTTTCTCTGTTCAGTCCATTTCTATTTTTGTCAGTGCCCTGATTCGTCAAATTTCTAAAACTTAGCATATAAGGGAGTGCACCTACAGATTAAATTTAAAATACGGTTGTTTCGATCAATCCGAGAATATTGTTTTTTTTTTCGAGGCTTGAAGCTATCACTCGAGATTACCGATCAAAGCGTTGTGTTACTAAAGGTTTAGCACTTTCGATTTAATATGAAATAAATCAAACGAACGGTGTGTATTAGAAATTCGACTCGAAGCGACTTAATTCTATAATTCGTAATCACCAAGAATAGTTTTGAATTTTTCACCGACGCGTGAAAATCAATCATATAATGATATCTTCTTACGGGTGGGTGGTCCGGCCGCCACAAGTTTATGAAATTAAAAAAGTAAAATTCTTTTGAAGTTTTTCTCACTAATGTCTACGAAGCACAAAGGAATTTTTCGAATTCTTTTTTTTTTTGGTATAAAAATTTTATTAATTTGAATTAATTATAAGTGTAAATTTACTGAGAATTCTGTTTTCATCACTTATTTCAAATATTGAAAATATTTTCTTCTATTTTCTTTTTTTGTTTTTTTTTTTTTTTTGTTTCTTATAAATTGTTAATGGCTGATTTATAAGTTCCCGTCAATTTTAAATCCTTTGAATTGTTAATCGCTCACAAAACCATGGGAAGAAAAAGAAATCATTGCCTCATTACTGTCATTAAACCCTTAAATACAAAAAAAAAAAAAAAAAAGATCGTTACATATAAATCTTCTTTTTTACAAAAAAAAAAAACAACAAAAACAGTAATCCTGAAAATTTATAACCCTTATGCGCTCGCATTTCGCTTTTGTAAAAGACTAAGTAAACAAGTCAACAATATTTACAATACAGTCAAAGTTATAAAATTTACCTTAATACAGCAACAACAACAAGAACAACAACAATAATAATAATAATAAGAATTTTTTCGATACTGTCGGTCTGAGTGGTTGACTGACTGAATGACTGCTTGCTTCAAGCATCGTGCCTTTACAAAAAGAATATACACATATATAGGAATGACAGGCAGACATTCAGTCAGTTATAGAAAAGTATAAAATACACAAATGTGTAACTAGCAAATCCCTTCCGTTTACAGGTATATTAACAAAGTCGTGCATGCGCTTGTGTGTTTTTAAAAGCCAAAAGAGATGTGACTTCATTCCCGATATTATGGTACAATAAATAAAATCACTAAGCAAAATGTCTGTATGATTTGAAATGTCTGTTTGCTGTCGAGCTGAAGTTTTCCTACCGATGCTGCTGCTGCTGCTGCTGCGATTGCAGATGATGCTGCTATTCTCTCTTCTTATTATTCTTACTGTTATCGTAATTGTTGTTGTTGATTAAACATGATATGCCGCATGAGTTGATTCTGTTAAAAGACCTTTTGTGCAAGAAACAAAACAAACAAAAAAAAAAAAAAAAAAAAAGAATAAATAAAAAGAAGAAGAGGAGAGGAAAAAAAAATAACACGCACTGAACTACTACTGCTTATAAGGCATTGTATCCGTCGTGCACTCTCGCACATGAATACCCTACACAGGATAGAAATGCATGGTTAAATGGATTTTGAAAATTTCTGCTGTTATTGTAATGCATTCACATGGAAAATTTTTGTGTTACATTCATACATACATTTATTCATCTTACTCTACGTTAGATATATAGATAGATAGATAGATAGATAGACAGATAGTTGTTGGCAGTTATTGTATTAGTATTGGTATAAGTTGTTAGTGTTGTTGCTGTTGTTACTTAACAATATCTTGATATTTACGGTAACAATGATATCTATGTGTGCAATTTGTTAAACTCAATGAAGCCAAGACTCAAAACTGCCGGTCTCTTTCTCTCTTTCTATCTATTTCTCCCCCTCTCTATCTCTCTTTCTCAACATTTTGCTTTTAGGTTTTTCTCTTTTCATATCTGTTTAGATTAAAATAAATTTTATTTATAAAGTCTCGAAAGATTGTGACTTTAAATCACTCTAACGGTTATGCTATAAATCTAACATTTACGTAAAATATCAAGTTTTAATTAATGTTTTCATTAAAAATGAGTTCATTAACTTTTGTTTTAAATATTTTTGCATTTTTTTTTTTTTGTTGTTGTTGTCGATCTCTCCTTTGATTTTAAACACTTTGTTGAGCGTGCGTCAGGCAATCAATATTTTTAAAATTAACCAGACACGCATAAAATTTAAAAGCAGCATGAGGTATATTGTGTTTTTTTCTTTTTTAAGATATTTTTTCGTTTTTTTGTTGTATTTGTTTTTTTTTTTTTTTTTCTTAGACAACGACTTGCATTGATGGCTGTTTCACACTCATGCGAGCATGCGGTGCATATGACGTATATTCACGCAATAACGAAATATCGCTGATATTCGGTTAAGACTATGGTAGACCAAGGAAAAAAAAATGTTTCGTTTATTAATCTTGGAATTTAAAACAGAAAGCAATTAAGAAGAATAAGTGATCGTAATAAAAATAAAAAAAAAACAAAATTACATAAATGCATGTGAAGACAACAAATAAAGTAATAAATCCATGTAATTAGTAATTAGGGAAATATAATAATAGGTTCATACAGTGGCAATGAAAAGGAAAAAAAATAACCTGAAAGAAGAGGAAACGATGCTGAATGGTGGATCTATTAACCTTAAGATCTACAGAAAGACAGGCAAAAACTCCAAGGCCAAGGCGCGAGCATTAAATATCCACCACCACTTGACTTAATACAGTTGTTGTTCACACAATGACTTTCCAAAATTGGACGGTATATCGAAGCAATCTAAAAAGTGATTCGATTCAAGCATTTTCAATACCGTTCTTATGGCCAAAACAGTTTCGTGTGCCGAATATTATGAAAATATCTCGAAAAGGTGCGACCTGTAGGTTGCACACAAGGCAACAAGATAGACAGGCGGACAGACAAACTTAAATCGATTTCTCAGATGATTCTTCAGGTCCTTTTGGATATTGCATATATCCGTATAAACTTAATATACTTTTTTACCACGAATGGTGTAGGGTACAATGACATTATATTCCCTTTCTAGACTGACCGAGTTTGTTGATTAATCGGTGCAGTTCCCTTTTTTGCAGTTCCCTTTTAGTTGCCCCCACCTATATATTCTTGTCAAACTTTAAATCGATACGCAAAATATTACGGATCTATTATGATGCATTAATTCAACATCTATAGGAGCAATTACAACGTTTGAGATTTTCGGACGATATACTCGCTCATATTTTTTATCGCATGCAAGCTACTTGTTTTGACTTCATTGCATAGAAAATTTCGTCTCAACTAAAGTCAATATTATTGCAATAAGAAGTTTCGATTTTCGAGAAGAGAAACTCAGACATTGGTCTAACAATGGCTGAAAGGGCCCCTAAGAACTTTTTTAACTGCAGATTGGCAGACTACAGAGTGATTTTTTTTTGATTTGAACGCGCACTACTTTCGCTGCAGACCGCTTTAAAGATGCCTTGTGGGTGTAACTCCG